TTATGTCTATCATATAGACTTTTAAATGTTTACTAACGCAAAAAAAAAGCGAATTTGCCTATGCAATTGAACCAGAAGCAGCTGTATACCAAATACACGATCGCAGAGGTTAGTAAAATATATTTATTTTATAACTTAATACAATATACTGTACATAATATGTAGTAACCTACACGAATGTCTTACCGTTATTTTGTAAAACCATCTATCTAGTAGATATAGTTTTAAATTTTTTGGCGAAAACGAATCATTTCATGTAATATTTCAAAAATAATATTAATCACGCTTTCAGCTTCTAGTTAAATATTTATTGCTAGTAGGTTACAGGACTGCAATTGAATAATTAATATTATTAGGTAAGTTAATGCATTTTTATATTAATATAAGTGTTTGTATTCCTACCTATATTAATACTGTGATTAGTGTATTTAGCTATCTATAACCTACGCGTATAATATTTATGTGTAGTATACATTGAGTAGGTACATTAAATATATTATAGGTATATTAAATATTGTACCTACGTCGGTGATTTTTTGAAGGATATATAGTATTACACCGTAACTAAACTCAAAACGTCGGTTGCTAAATGTAATGTAGGTATAGTATTTTATAACTGATAAAATATGCAGGTATATAGTTGTTATTGATATTGGAAAATATCAATGAAAATTTATTTAGAATTATCAAGTGTCAACTAAAATCATTGATATATAAACAAATAGTTTATATATAGAAATAAATAAAAGCTTAGTTTGAAGTATTATTATATTTATAAAATACGACCGATTTTGAATTAAAAATGTATTGTCAGGTATATACTCGTACAAAGTCAATAAAATTATGACTGGATATGAAAAAAAAAAAGGAATGAATAAATCGAGAAAAATTAATTGTTTTACATAGAGATAATTTATTTTAATAGGAAATTTTTTATAAGGAGTTCTTGTTAAATATAGATATGTTAAAAAGTATAAATACTTTGGTTATTATTATTTATTATTATCTAAAATGTATTGATATAAAATATTTTTTTTTTTAAATCGATTTGTACATTCAAAATATTAAAATTATTTTCTTTATTTCATTGTTTATGTGACTCTTCTAAGATTAAATTAATGTACGAGTATATGTTATTTTGTGTATTTAATTTTTTTAAGTTATTGATTTCAAAATGTATATAATGGTTATTTTCTAAATTATGCTTAGCACAATTTGAATTAGGAGCTGTTTTTTAAAATTTTATTTCAGGAATGTGTTCTTTATACCTTATTTATAATTTCTATTTGTTCTAAAATTATTGCCTATATATTAGGTTTAAAAGAAAACTTTTTGTTTCACTAAGTAGGTACATCTGTAATGTTCTAATAAAGGTAAAATTATATTTTTAATCGATAAGACATCGTGAAGCCATAAAAAATATATATTTAAAAAGTATTTGTATCTAACGGATTGTGACTTGTGAGTGAAATTTGTTCAGGTCCGGATTAACCTAGGTGCAAAAAGAGCATTTGCTACAGGGCGGTAAATTTAATGGAGTGGCATAAATAAAATTACCCCAAAAAAAATATTAATAATAATTATTTAAGCAAAAGTTTTTCAATTATGATAAGAAGAAAAATATGTAGGTATAATATCTATAGTGTCCAACTTTTGAATATGACGTCATTTTTATATGCTTTGTTGGTAAACCTGTTATTATCATTTATAGTATTTTCTATGACTCCGATTTGATTTCCAAATGTTGTTTTCTTAATTGTTTAATTGTACAATTTAAATATAGGAATAGATTTTGTAGAAGACTTGGTACAGTTCAAAACTATTGTTTGAAATTTTCCGTCAAAAGCCAAAACTACTTCTACATCATTACTGAGAACACTGAAAACATTGTCTTTAGAGGCATCGTTTCCTAATATCGAAATAATTTTAAGAATAATTTGTACTTTACATTATTTCATTATTAATACAAGAAAAAATGTCCAATTTATCAATTTTATATATAGAATCTGATTTTGTTGAGGAAATTAAGTGAGAAAAACTAATACAAAAATTTTCAACTATTAAATCTAGAAAAACATATATTTAAAAAAAAATAATAATTTATTAGTTTTTTAATTTTTTAATTGACGTTAATATTAAAAATAATTTAAATTATTATTTATTTTTGAACCAATTTATTAATATAATAATTGTATTTTATTTAACTTGAACTGGATGCTGATTGGCGAGTTCTAGCGAAGGATAGAGAGAGATGACATGGCATATGTTTGTCAGTTTGGTCTTAAAGACTGTAAACTACGAAAAAGAAGAATAATTGTATTTTGTGACTTTTTTTCTATTAATTTAAAAAAAATCTTTGGAAAACTTTTCTGTGACATTAGACATATAGTTATACTTTTTAGTGTAAGTGGATTAATTATTATATTAGGTATATATTATAATAGTATTTTATTTCCTTAATTTATACATAGAAATCAAGAATTTTTTTTTTATCTCATTAAAACCTTATTTTTTTGTGAGAGAGGGCATCAAAAATTATTTTCTCCAGGGTGTCATCGGCTCTTAATCCGACACTGAATTTGTTTCTCGAAAATGATTTGTATATTTGAATGAGATGTATAAAATGATAAATGCATGTTTCCCAGATAAAATTGGAAAACATCACTGGTTAAATTATATTATTAATCATTATAGCTAAATTATGTATTTTATATAGAGTATATACACATATTTTCATAGTGTACTCATTAATTTGATAAAATTATATAATTTTGCATATTGTGTATCAATCACCTATAACACATATACTTATTGTGCCTTTTGGGTATATATAGTATATAATATATACAAACAGAGAAAAATTAAAATTTATATATAAAATAGTTTTATAAATAATGAAATATTTTTTATGACGATAATAGGTATTTCTTAATTACTGTTCAAAAGCAGCTTGTAAACTTTATATTTTATAAAATACTAATCCACACGCACATACTGAACAATTCTACATCCATTTTCTAACGATATAAACTGCTGTCATAGACTTATTTAATGTATCGAAATGAAGGAAAACCAAACATTTACAATTACCTGAACCATGTCATTAATGTAATGTTGAAATTAGATTTTAAAAATATTGAATATTTGACTGAATCGGAAAGATGGTTAAGAATTACATTTTTTAATAAATTTCTTTTTTTAGTACAAGATTATAAGAAATACTATTTAAAATGATTTGAGTAACACCTTGAGTGCTAAATAGATATAAATGTATAAAGTTTACAAATAATAGCATTTACTTAGTGGTTAATACCTAATAGTTATATACCGAAATCGCAATGTGTTCGTCAATGACATGGTTAAATGTAAATGACTATAACTATAGTTATATACATAGTATAACTATAGTTTTTAAAGTAACTATATTTTTTAGTTACAACATAATAATTTGTCATTATTAAAGAATTTATAAAAAAAAGTAATATATAGATGGGCAGTAAGTATATTTCGGAGCTACTTACGAAATGTATAAAATTCAAGTCAACTGTGTTTTAAAAAATATTATTCAAAAAATGATATTAATTTATAATTAACATATATAGGTGTTTACCATGAATTAAATAAATTAAACAATTATAATTCAAATAGTTTTTTATTTGAGCTCATATCTTTTAAAATATTTCTATAGATATTATTGTACATATATTTTTATGTTTTTTCAATATAAGATATTTTTTATTATCGTATGTTCTGATTACACGCATTCATATATTTGACATTTTAAGTAATAATTTTAACATATATATATAGAATCATAGAAATTAATTAATAAAGTACTGAAAGAAGTATTAAAAGAATGAAAATGAACAATAATTATGATTATTAATAGCCTGTTTTGATTTCTGAAAATTACTAGTAATGTAGTTAACAGAGGTTAACTGTTCTATAGTAGCCAATAGATCACATAAAAAAATGAACGATTACTTACTGTTATTCTTATTGCTTATTATTCTTTTTTATAATAACCTATATCTATATGATAATTTTTAATTCCACAATTAACGTTGCAATATTTTATCATAGATATCTACTTTCAACAAAAACTTAAACATATTTACCTAATTTCTATCTACTTATATATAATTTGAATATTTATTATTACAAAGAAAAGACTTATATTTTTGTGTTTACATTCAAATTATTAAAATAAGTAAAGAAAACGTTATAATGAAAGGTCAATCGTATTTTAGTATGCAGATAATATATTTTGTAAAAAATTATTTTGAAACATTTTAATCGATCTTTCTATATATTTTCTTAATTTAAATAACCTACGTCCAAAATATAGGTTAGGTTAGGTTACTTATTAGGTTATTATTAATAACAAAGACACGAAAATACTATACTAATTTTTATTAAAATTAATTTCTAGAAAATATAATAAATTATTGTTATTAAATTTATAATAAATTTGTAATATTTATAATATTATCACTTTTATTATTGATTATAAGTATTATAATCAATGCTTGTAAATACTTTTATTTTTTTTAACAATCATTGTAAAATCTCAGTATGTTTATAAATTACAAAGTATATACATGCATTTATACATTTATTTTCAAATAGATTCAATCGTATGCATCCGTAGCTGATTCGATGTTGTAAATATATACACATTTAAGAGAGTACCTATATTACAATGGTAAAGTTTTAAATTATTGTTATCTCAATTTCCTTTAGACTGATATAATAATATTTTATATAACTATACGTTAATTTTACTTTTACTTTACGGCCCTATGCACATACATTTATTCATCTTTACACTCGTGAAGTGTTGATAATGTAAATCGTAAATACCAGCAAATCATGACTTCTAACTTATATGTTGTACAATTCTTTACGCATATACGAGTATACACGCGTATTGAACCGTATTTACGTTGTATATGTGTATGGCATACAAATATACAATATATATGAATGTAGATATGGTTATATTCATTGTCATCATCGCTATTGTCGTATTGTATATTCTTCTATACATACGACGTACGATTATGTGCCGCCTGTACAACAATCATAACGGAAATTCTCCGCCTACGCAGACCGTGATGAAAACACGTTTATCTAAATAATAAGAATATAGTTTAAAAATCGTTAACGATTTCAATGTCTCATTATGCATCCGTAATTTTTGCCAATCCTACTCGGTTATTTTTTTCTATTTTTATATTGTTATTTGCGTTCCACGTGGTTGGTCACGACCGCGATGTAATTACACACTACCCGGCACACTTTCTTCCTACTCAATTGATTTGTAGGATTTGTTTAAATTTTTTCTCTCCTCACTACAGAGCCACCAGCCATGAACTTTGCCGATACGTACCACGAACGCAGGAGGGGACGAGTTTTTGTCGACGACCCGCTGTCTAGTCTCGAACAAGAGATACTGCTGTTCAGACACAACAACATCCAGAAATTCCAACAAGGTTATTTATTATAGCCATATATATTATTAATCATTATATTAAAAAAAAAAAAAAAAAAATGGATTTGCTAATGGGAAATCAAATAAATTGTGTACCTATATCTATAAACTAAATGGGTTGGTAGTTTTAGGTTGTGTCGAAGAAGAACCGGAATACAGGCTGGACGACATTGAATGCGCCTTACGTTACAACTCACTCGACTCCGGGATCCCGCCTGAATACGACGAAGACGAAGTAGCGAATTCGATTAACACGACTTTGAATAGGTCAGTATTATATACAAACTATTATCATCAATGTTTATTTCAGACCTTTTTCACTGCAAAGGGTGTTGGCCAATATCAAGGGAATGAAAATTAAAAATAAAATAATCATTTTGGTAAAATCTTTAAATTAAAAAATAAATTTCGGTGGGCTATTAATTTTTCTTTAGTAGAGGGTATCACCATCGAAAATAATCATTGATTATCGTATTACAGTACATACAATTTGTAATAATTATTGTTGTCATTCAACGGAAACCCGTTTCCGACAGATTGATATCGTTATCGTTAGAACAACAATGTTTTCAACGGCCGGATGAGGAGGGTACGATGAGCAGTTTTACCGCGGTTCCCGCCAAAACGATCAACACTTGCTGCAGTCCACAACCACTGACAGAAACGTACAACCTGGTCGAAGAAGTTTACGTTAACCGAGACCAATGTCACACGGAACTCCAAGTGCTGGACGAGTCGCCCGAAGACGGTATCGTCGTGTCCATCGATATAGGTACCACGTACACGGGCTACGCCTATTCGTTCAGACGGTCTGGCAGGATAAGCGTCATGAAGAAACCCGACTGTAACTATATTAATAATAATAAATACATTAAGTCGTTATAAATTATAATTATTATTATTATATTACGATCAATAACTAAAGTACACCTTTATATTATTGCGATTTGTGATGAACTGATGACGTTGATAAGAATCTCAAGAAATTATATAGGTTACGATAACCGAATCAATTTAAACATATATAAATATATATTATTTATTACAATCCGGGCATATCAAATTTATCAAGTCTGACGAAACTAGGTCACCTAGGTATTAATTACGGGTACTCTATAGCCTAACTATATTAATGTCGTATACAGTTTCCAGTTTCCATTACACGAGAAATAAAAAAAAAATAAATCATTATTTATGTATTCTCGAATCCGCTTTTGTTAAACATTTTTTCAATATAAACCGTAAGGTTTATGAAACCTACTGTATGTATAGCAAATGATTTTAATCGATTGGTTTTGTGACGTTTTAGACGAAAGTGATACAATATTGGATGGTCAAAAAATACCGACGGCTTTGCTGCTGTCGCCAGATTTTAATTTCCATTCATTCGGAACGGCCGCTCGTGATTACTTCCATGAAATGCACCCAGAAGAAGCTCAAAAGTGGTACTACTTCGATAAGTTCAAAATGTTTTTGTATAACAAAGACGTGAGTGTTGTCTGTAGCAAACAAACATTTTTATAAATGTTCACACAAAATGTTATTAAATCTAAATTATCTAACGGTTTTCAGGAAATAACTAAAGACACTCATATAATGGCTGCTAATAGCGTGTCCCTTCCGGCCACTCGCATATTGACCGAAGCTCTACGACACCTGAGATATTTAATTCTAGAAGAACTCACCGAACGATGTTCTGAAGCTTTGAGTCCAGATTCAATTTCTTGGATTCTAACCGTACCGGCTATATGGAATAAGAGCACTAGACATTTGATAAAGGAAATCGCAATCGAGGTTAGCAATATACAACACAAAGTTTCAACTATCTACACATATTTATTGATATACATAATTAGTCTTCAATAATTCTACTATAATGCAATTATTTCTAGGCCGGGATGGGTAGTTTGGAAAATTCGGAATCGGTGACTATAATTCTTGAGCCCGAAGCAGCAGCTATACACTGCCGCAATGCTCGTCTTAAACACGCCAAAGTACTTTCAAAAATTAAATATCAAGATACAATATATGAAACTGATTATTGCGTTTTAAATGAAGTAGGCGAAGGTAAAAGAGTTGAACTGTTTTGATTATAAAAAAAAAAATTAATATTTAAATTTATTAAAACAATCAGTATTGATAAATGTATGAAAACTAACCAAAAATTTTTACAAAATTACTAATTGTTATTGTAATTATGTTTTTATTTAATTTTAGGATACAATTACTTAGTTGTAAACTGTGGTGGTGGTACAGTCGACGTAACAATTCATCAAGTATGTCGTACTATAAACAGATTGCCAATCAGTAAACTTCATAAACCCTCTGCTGGAGTTTGTGGATCTCTAAGTAAAGTATAATGTATTTAATTTAAATTTGATTGATTTTTTTCTGGTATGAAAAAAGTCATTGGTATTTTAATTTTTAAATTTATTTTTTAAATACTCTATAGTCAAACAATTTCAGTTATTCTTTTGAAGTTAAATTAAGCTCTTATAATAATTTATAAATATTATTTAAATTCATATTGAAATTGCTTTAAGTAATAATACTAAGTACTAAATATTTAAATACCTAATATCAAATAAGTAAATGCATTGGTTATTTGTTCTGCATAGGTGTTGATATAGAATTTGTTAAGCTTTTGTGTGCATTATTTGGTTTTGGATTTATGTCCGATTTCAAACTTCAAAGACCAGCTGCATATATGGAACTACTTCAAAGGTTCGAAGAAGCCAAAAAATCAGTTTCCAGTAAAGTGAGAGCTCCTATAATTATAAGACCTCCGTACGCGTTCATCGAACATTACTTGAAGTATTCAAACAAAGACGTTCGTATATTCATATAACAAATTTAATTCTATTGGAAACAATCAAACATTATCTTAATTGCTTACATACGTATATACTGATTTTCAAATATAATATTGTATAATTAAAGGTTTCTGATGCCGTTAGAGATTATGGATCTGATGCAATTGTTTGGAATGAGCTGGACGGCGTTTTTATTTTACATTACTTAGCAGTCGAGCCACTTTTTTTACCAAGTTTCGCTTGTATTTCTGAAGTAAGTGAAATTAAACTACATAATAAACGTATTAATATAATTTAGACGTTTTTTACTGTGAAAATATTTTTCGTTTTAGCAAATCCATAGTATACTAAACAACGATCAAAAAGTAACCCATATGTTTTTGGTTGGAGGTTACTCTCAGTCATTGTGGCTTCAAGAAAAGATTGCCGAACGTTTTAGCGATAGGTTGAAAATAATCTTGCCCGACTTCGGATATGTTAGCGTTCTTCGCGGGGCTGTCATATATGATCTAAACAGATCTGATATGCCGTCATTTAAAGCGAAACATAGTTACGCTGTGGGAATAATTAAACCGTTCATAGACAATACTCATCCGATCGGTAAGATGGAAAGTTTGAAAAAAACATTATCTACCTGTGCTTATGTCTTATTCAACTACATAACTATTTAAAAAAAAAAATAGGCGTTAACTTTATATAATATGCAGTAGGTACATGCAGTGTTATAATATAAACGTTTAATTTCAGAAAAGCTCGTCATAAAGGACGGCAAGCGTTGGTGTACGGACTTGCTAGATTATTTAATAGAAGAAAACGATTGTATTAGGGATAATGAGACAGTCATAAAAAAGTATACTCCTGCGAACTCATCGCAAGATTCAATCATAATTAATATATACCTGGTACACAATCAGTCAGCCAAGGTCGGTATACTCACATATTTATACTTGTAATTTTTGATTATATAAGTTTTAGAATTTCGTGATTCGTATAACTTATCAGTTATACATTTTAAAAATATTCTAGTTCGTAACGGATAACGGAGTATCAAAGTGTGGTTCATTAAAATTAACAAGAAATGAAGACGTCCATTTATCTAAAGAACTATTGGTACAAATGGGATTTTGTGGTCAAGGAGAAGTGGTTGCGACCGCATTAGATTTAACAAATGGCACTCGAGTAGATGCTCAGATTACAGAAACGGATTGTTAAAAATATAATGCTTTAATGCTTTGGACATGATTTTGCTATAAAATATAATAAGTCTTCAAAAATATATTATTAATCACGGAAAAAGCTCAACGAGGTTCGTAACTGTATCTTTAACGGACGTGAGTAAAGTACATTACTGTTATTTAAATTAAACGTATATTTCATACATACCCGGATCAGATTATATACCTTGTTAATTTTTTAGTTTTATTGTATAAGCTTATAAATGTATCAGATACAGCCTAAATTTAAAAAAATTATAGACTAAAGACGTATGTACTGCTAAGTAATCGTTTTAAAAATTAATTTTATAGTGAGTTTATAATTATATGATTACCTTTAATTAATCAATATAAAGTGTTCCTGTATAGTTGTAATAGTTAACAAAACGAAAATAAATCATTTCATTATTGTTAAATACATTTTAAAACTTTTTTTACTTATACTTATATAATAACTTGTCTTAATATTATTGATCTATACCATAATATAGATATATATTTTAATTTATGTCTTGACTATTGATTTTATAAAAAATCTGAAATGCCTCATAATATTATTACAGCTAAGTATAAATGAGATCTATCTATATTTGTACTGTTATATTTGTTTACTGTGTATCACGAATACATATATTTCATCATATTTGTATGATATATATTTTATGATATTTGACCTATTCAGTGCCGGATCTAGGAAATTTGACGCCCGGGGCAAATTAAAATGTAACGTCTTCAGTGGCGTACACACGGGGAGGGTTTCCGAGTTCAAACCCCCCCCCAGGCCAAAAAAAAAAAAAACAAAGAATATTGTTTTATTATTGATGACGTTTAATATATTCGTAGTTTCATTATTACGCTTTGAACTTAAAATATACAACTATACAAATATTATGCTAATTAAATAATTATATTGATAGGTGTTTGAAAAGTTTTGTTAACTATGCTGTTTTTATATTCCAAATATTAATTTACTGTAAAGTAAACTGTAAATTGGTAAAGTAGTTGTATAAAATAGTAACTGTTTATAGCAATTATTTATCTTATTTATCTGTACAACGAAAAAAAAAATATAATGATTATTTTTGTTAAACCCTCCCCAGAGCAAGATCGAATGTACGCCACTGGACGTCTTAATGTAGGTGTAATTACGGGGTTGTTTGTGACTTTTTTATTTTTCATAAACTTAAAAGTACCCTTATAACAACTGCGCCTGGGGCAAGCATACCAACTCTCCTCCTAGATCCAGCACTGGATCTAATATATAAGTTGTTGATCATTGTTGTTTGTAAAAAGTATTTTTTATTTGTTACTTATGTTGATTTAGAGCAACGAATTTATAATATTCCTTTGCATGTTTAAAAATATATAAATCAAAAATAGTACATAAATTGCAGTTTTTATTTGACAAAACAATTTGGTGGTTTTTTTTAAATATCTATAATATACATCGGTATCGCCTTACAATAACGATTGTTGCATATAGGGTACTAAGTTATAAATTATGACAAAATAAACTTAAAATAACATTTATTAAATTGTACCAGTGCTAAGTAAACGTATATTTACGTTTACGTGTTGGTATTTCCGTTATTATTACATATCTGTTCACATTTACCGTTTAATTGAAGAATTACGTTTACGTGTGCTTCTGCTGATATTAAGGATCATATGTGATCGCAGGTATGATATGTCTTGGTAGCTAGTATAATTCCTTCCGTGTTACCGTGCACGAAAACTCCTTGATGACGGATTTACCGTTCACATGTAGTCCAATTAAACATTTTTTTTTTATTATTTATTATAATTAAATGTTTCAGCATATTGCATGCTATTACAAGTTTGTAGGTTACAGTTTAAAAGTTTAGATTACGGTTTATACAAATAGAATATGGAATGGGATTGTAGATAATTTTAATGAGGTTTGTTGATAAAAGATTTAATATTGGAAATAATGACTGCTATGGGAATATTGTTGTTAATTTGCTTAAAATTACAGTTATCAGAGAAATTAATGGATTAAATAATATTTTGAGTTCGTTCAAGATGTTTGACGTTGAATTTGAATTTGAATTTGTAGTACTGGATATTGGTTGGGCGGCTGTTACATTGGCATATGATGGACCGGACGGGGGAGCATGCGATGCATGACGACGTGAGGTGACTTGTCGTTTAGGAATTTCTGTCTTTTTTGGTTTGTTTGTTGATTTTGTCAGTTTTTTGTAAATTATACAACCTTTGTATGAAGCTGTGTGTGCACCAGAGCATAGTGCACATTTAGCCGGAAGGCTACTATCTTTGGTGCACATATCTGTTAAGTGATTTTCGCCGCATTTAACGCATCTAGGCTGCTGACTACAGTAGTTGCGCGTATGGCCGTAAGCTTGGCATGTGTAGCATTGAGGCGGGTTTTTTCGTTTGGTATGTGGTTTTTCAATCAATACTGCGGAGTGAAGAAGTTTTGTAATCTTGAAGATTTCTTTATTGTTTTCTTTAAGAGCCAGTTCTACATGGAATATTGGTAAAGGACGATGGTTCTTTTTGATATTAACCACGCGCGTGGCCGAGTGTCCAAGTTCAGCCAAGGCGTTTGTAATATCAGTTGTGATAGTGGAGTGATGCAGATTTCTGATTACTGCTTTGTATTGACGTTTGCAGTGCGGCCGAAAAGAGTGAAATTCGGCTTCGGTTTCTTTTAAGTAGTCAATTACTATGTTGTAGGTTATGCGATTGTTGGGGCGGATTATAATAAATGATGGTGTAGACTTAAATGAAATATCGTTAGTGCCTGTGAGTGATATTATTTTCTTACTGAATATTGAGAAGTTGGTGACGTTTTTAATGTAGATCGCCGGTATTCGGGTAGGCATAGGTGTGGTTTTAGTTTTATTTAGTTGCTCACAGATTACTATGTTATCGTTTGGTTTAAATACCTCATTTTCAATTTCGTCGTCAGAGACCTTGGCCAATGCCGCGTATCGATTTGGTGATGTATATTGTTTGATTTTCTTTTCTTCTTGTGGTGATGGGCTAGAAGGCGAGAACAAATGCCGTTTTGATTTTTGGGTTTGTGGTGGTTGAGGCGGCGCCATGTTTGGTGGACTCGGAGTAATTACGGAGACCGATAACGGAGCGGACGTGCGCGCGAACGTGTGTTCATGTCGAACGTTATCGCCAGGCCAATTAAACATGACTGTATTATACCATAGTTGTATCGTTTCGGCGGTGCGTGTTACAACGGTGGCTCTCACCCGTGTCCTGCTAACAACCATTGTAATGAATTATTTCCGCGACTCGCGTATAGGATCAGTACGAGGTGACCTAAACGGATAAAAAAAAAAAACTCGTTTTCAATTTAATGTGCATACTAGGATCGCATATTAGACGGTTTATAAATTCTATGTGTGTTCATCACGTCAGTCATCGACCGCATACAATTATGTTGACTATATGAAATTTTTCAATTCAAATGTTTTCACATATTTTAAACGTCTTATTCCACTATTTTGGTATTTCTTCCATTATATGTGAGATATACTTATTTTTTTTTTGTTAAGAAAAGAGTTTGTCAATAAATATGTTTTGTTTTGTAATCTTAATAATCTCTAATAATACATAAAAATATTTAATATAATAACTAAATTATACAAATGTATAAAAAAACAAATAATACAAATATGTGAAAAACAAAATAATAAAAGTAAAAAAATACAAACAAAATTATACAGAAGTGTAAAAAAATACTGACAAAATTATATTCAAGCCTAAAAAAATTTATTAAAATATCACAAAATTGTTGTATAGAGATTAAGTGCGGAATGGAATATTTTCTTTCACATAACTTTCTTCGGATTTGTAACCAAAATTAGAGCAAATATTCTTCCCTATAATTAAAGTGTTATTGATTAATCTTGAGCTTAATGTTTAACGCTTCACAAATATTTGCAATTTAATTTTATACTTGCGGTTTCGTGTTGGGTTTCTTGCATAATTCGAACATATAATGAACTCATTATATAAGTCATCAAGGGATTTTCCGAGCAAGATTCAAGTATATTCGTCACGAATTATACGAGCAACAGCATTTTTTCGTCACCTTTTACATAAGCTTCGTCCAGCAAGTTTTCCAAGTCAATGTCTTCCTTCGATATCGATTTATTTTTGGTCAGAATGATCATGCCTAATTACTGGCCTAGATTTTTTATTAGTCATTAATCCGACAGACTTGAAATGCCTTCGTATCTTCTCAACCAAATCTAAAACCATAATATCAAATACTCTGTTAATAAAGTTATAATATAAATAATAGTTTATTTGATTGATATTATTATCATAATTACTTATACCATTATTTCCAACAGTTTTTAATTTTGGATTTTTTGAAAACATTCCACGTATTTCCAGAATATATTGAATAAATAATGTTCAAAGGCCGATAAGTACAGTTTGACAAATCGTAAGAGGCCGTTATGAATTTTATCCCAAATTTCATCTGGTTTGAAATAATTAATTCAGCGATTAATAAAAACTAATTAATTCAAACCAACGCGTTACAACGATTTAAACTAATATCTGCTTAAAATTATGATTATGATGAATGGTACAAGAAAGCATTTTTTTTCAAGTAAATTGTAATGTCCGCCCAATATTAATATGACTATTTGTGTTACAATAGTTGATGTTGATATTTTAGTGGTCTGTGTGAGATATATTAATCTCAGTCAGTGGCATACATTCAATCTTGCTCTGGGAGGGGTTTAACAAAAATAATTGTTATCTTTTTTTTTCGTTGCACAAATAAATAAGATAAATAACTGCTATAAATAGATATTATCTTATACAACTTTTTTACCAATTTGCAGTTTACTTTTACGTTACAGGAAATTAATAGCTATTGAAATATAAAAGCAGCAAAGTTAACAAAATTTTTCAAACACCTATCAATATAATTAATAATATTTGTATAGTTGTATGTTTTAAGGTCAAAGCGTAACAATGAAACTATGAATATATTACACGTCATCAATAATAAAATATTTTTTTTTTTTTTGGCACTGGGGGGGGGGTTTGAACCTGGACCCCTCCTGTATGTACGCCACTGATCGCAGTAATGTCGGGTCAGTATATGTTAAGAACATAAAACAAAACCTAAATTCTATTTTTTTTGATATAAGCAAGATAATCTAAATAGTTTCTAAAAAAATAATACAAAAACAATGCTTAGTGTGGACCCAGTATTAGTTTTCTTTTATTTGGAGGTGTCAGAAATATTTTGCATTTATGTATGTATACGCTTTGCGATTTAGGGCACGTGTTTACAAATTAAATTAATTTCAAATAATAATTATCAAATTTACCTCAAGTAACAAAATTTTAAATTGTATTTAATATTATGATAAATTAGTCACAATGCATATGTTTTCCTTAAATCTCATATATTTTTTTCAATTATTTATAATTTTTATTTTTTAGTAAATTGTAGCTGTTATATTATCATAATAAGTTTATGCTTGGACATTTAGAAAATTTAGTTTTATTTTTTTTATTACGAAATACAATTTATTTTTTTATCAAATATTTTAAAACAAATTACATTTAATTTGAGCAACATCAGATAAAGATAAAATATAGGCCCCTTACTCTTAGACTTAAATTATAGGGCTCTGCTTATAACGTTTAACGTATAACGTACCTTCCTGCGAACGCCTATGTTTTTAGTCATTTTCTCAGCATCCAGAATTTCAGCCCATATTTTAGATGTAAATATACTGGGATCAATGTATGTTTCTGTATAGACATTTAAACCGCAAAAGCATCAGATTATTCGGAGCACAGAAGAATAGCCAAACCAAAAAAAGACTTTAACAAATTCTCTATTTCAAAGTTCTTCATGTTTTAATTTCAAAATCCCAAGCTTTGAACTTTCCAAAACCATAATTGCCCAACATTTTTATTTTTGTACTTGAAAAAACAACTAAAATTTCATCATGTATTGCTTTTTCAAAATCAACTATGAGTATTATGGGAGAAAATTTTAAATTCTTTTTTTCATAGAATTTTTGTATGTATTTCCACATTGATTCGTAGCAATTTGAAGTTTTACTCGGAAGTACACAGTCAATCAAAAAATTTACGTCTTTTTTCCGTACATTTAAACTCGGATATATCCAATATCATCTAAAATCATTGCAGTATTTTAAGTTACTTACAATTCGTAATGCATTGTTTTCTATGGTATTCGTAATATTTTTAGCGGTTTTTTTTTTTTTTACGATTATTACACAAAATATGACACTGGACGTTATGATTGTTTACTAGACCGTGTAAATGCTCTCCACTAACATGAACAATAATTATATAATTGTTAATCGTAGATTTATTCATTTCTATTCTAGCAGGATATTTTGTTTTGGTACACCTCAATGATTTATTACAATTGGCTGTTTCTCGTATAATTTATACTTTTGCTCATTAAATAAAATGCGCGCAACACATTTATTTGTTATAGTTTTTGTAAAATGAATTTTACACCAATGGTTATGAAGTATTAATAAAATATAACAAAACTACTCAAACACAATATTGTGACAAACATTGCCGTGTTCAAACTTTAGTAAAAGTACATTTAAAACTAAAATTTTTTTAGTCATTTTTCACATTTTTAATATATTTTTTACGTCATTAATTAAACTGTTTCGGTTATAATAGCATTTAAGGGTATTTTTTAGGGCATTAAAATCCGTGTCCCTAGTTATAACGTTAATTAACACCACGAATTAAGATATAGGTACCTATAAACATAGGTATATTTTAATTCGTGATTATCATGTTTGAATATTTTTGTGATTGATTTTATAATATCTTTGGAAAAACCAAAATTTGGCTTAACCACAGAATAGGCTGAACATAGATCCAGCCGCGCTGCACTACCAAGGTTTATCACGTTCCTAACATCATTTAATTGTTGTGTTTACAACCTTAAATTTTCTGTGTGTTGTAACATCTGATTACGTTCCTTTTCGTTTGAACGTGATTTTGGGGTTTCGCGACAAGTGAGTTGGTAAGTAAATTTTCATCCATTCCGATCTCAATAATCACTTGGCATTTAACGTTAATATTAATTTTGTTTTGTACGCCGAGTTTGCGTGTCACTGGATTTAACCGGTTGGCCAAATTATTTTACCGTCGCACCGACTGTTGTGTTTTGCACTTCTGTACTCATTTGTCACATACACTTTCAGGTACCTGACAAATCATGAAGTTCAATGTTTTTAAGACGTCGTCGAGACGTAAGTCACGTAAAGCGCATTTTACGGCACCCTCACATATCAGACGCCGTATTATGTCGGCGCCTTTGTCCAAAGAATTAAGGAGCAAATATAACGTCAAGTCGATGCCTGTCCGTAAGGATGACGAAGTTCAGGTTAGTAATAGCTTACAGTTCCTCACTAATAGGTAACTGAGCAATTATGTTAAATCCTAAGTCCATCGAACCATTTGATTACTACAACTACGTTTGATGTGTTTTTATTCAAATACATAGGATAAATGTTAAGATATTTGATATCTCTTCGAATTTCATTACTTTTCTAACGCAGATCAAAGAATTGCCATTAATTTATTGCTGTGTATTTAATTTTTCATTCATAGGTTTAACGTTTTATTTGATAAACTGTATTGTATGATACAATTTAAGACAATGGCTTTTGTTTTATATTTTTTTTTTCATTGATAAATACTTAATTTTAGTAAGTTAACTTTAAAAGAATTATTTCTGTTTTAAAATTTGTAAATTTTTTGTGTAAAAATCTTTCAAATTTCTATATTTTTGTCCAGAAAGCAATTCAGTAATTAAATTAGAACTACATTGATATAGTAAACCATAGTACTATTAAATCTAAGTATTAAAATCGATGAAGCAAAACCATTCTTTGAAACAGACGAATAACGAGTATTGCAGTTCTTGTATTAAACAGATTGTATAAGTTGCATCTGTTAAATGCTATTTTAAAGGCTCTGATTGAATATTAATGCTAAATTTTTTACTTCTAACAAGTTCTATACAATATTTTTGTATATTAGTGTATGTTTATGCTATTAAATAGTGTTTGGCAACGATATAATATTGTGTATCGTTATCGTTCTGATTTTCCCGATATTGTATCGCAATATCGTAATTTGTACGATATCGATATCATATTTGATATTTATTATTGGTACACCAAAATCGTAAATTTTTACCATATGTACTACTTGCTTATTTATTAGACATTGGTTATTAAACAATAAGAAATTGTATTCAGATAATTAAATAAATATTATTGTAAATCTTGTCTTAACTTATCACTATTAAAATAAACAACTAAAAAAAAAACTTCTCTGTTTTTATTCTTTATCTTCAAACCCAATTGCTGCATCCTAGAAAATACATTTTATGTAAATTGTTTATAAATAATTTTCAATTAAATTTTATAATATATGTATTTTATAAAATTAAAAAGTATATAGTTTTCTTACCAAAGTATGGTCTGATGTTTTAGTGATTTATAATAAGAGTTCAAAAAGAGAAGATTGTTAACTTGATCTAAAGATAATCTATTTCTCGTCTTTGAAGTTACGCGTGTACCAACTTTATTACTACTTTATTATTATTACTTATTAGTGTCATTAGTTAATGGTTTATTACACGGCACACACAATACAATTTACTAAAGCTTATAATCTAAAAATAAAATATATTTCAAAAAATTATTAAATTTTACATCATGATATATCATACAATTATAGAACGATATCGTTGTCGAAAATGTGTCACAATATCAATATTGTTTCGAATTATCGATATAGTTGCCCATCACTACTATTAAATATACTTTCTATTTACTTCTAAAAATGTACCTAAATAATTATTTTATACCGGTTAAATTGATGAAATAATACTATTCTTTGAAATGAAATGAATAACAAGTGCTATCATTCTTTTGTTGCAGTTCTTGTTGCAAAATAATTGCTTGTATGAGTTTTATCTGTTAAAGATATTTTAAAGGCTTTGTTTGAATATGACTCAAAATAATTAAATATTGGAACTAATGTTCCACTATGAATATATCCACATTTTATTATGTGATATGTGGTCAGAACTATTTTAATAAGCATTTCATGTGTACTTAAATTGATGAAGCAAAACCATTCTTTGAAACAGACGAATAACTAATACAAGTAATTTTGTGGTACAGTTTTTGTAGCAGAATTATTACTTGTATAAGTTTTATCTGTTGAATGCTAATACAAAGGCTCTGATTGAATACTTATGTTAAATGTTTTACTTTTAACAAGTTCCAATTCCACACTAATATGTTTTAACCAATTATTTTTTATGTACTTAATATGATGAAGCAAAACCATTCTTTGAAGCAGACGAATAACAAGTACAAATGTTCCTCAGTTACAGTTCTTGTAATTGAATGAACAATTGTATGAGTTTTATCTGTTAAATGATATTTTTTAAGGCTCTGATTAAATATTATTGATTAATTTAAAACTACTACTACCATTTTTACCCTCATGTTTAGTATTACTATTCTTAATTTTTAATTGAATATTTAAATTATTATATTTTAGGTTGTAAGAGGACATTTTAGAGGCCAACAAGTTGGCAAAATTGTCCAAGTATACAGAAAAAAGTATGTAATTTACATTGAAAGGATTCAACGTGAAAAAGCTAACGGTGCTACAGTTTATGTTGGAATTCATCCTTCCAAGGTATTAGATATTTTATTTTTTAAATTAGTAAAATATTAACAATCATTTATTTAATGTTTTTAGTGTGTTATTGTAAAACTGAAGTTGGATAAAGACCGTAAAAAGATCCTCGACAGGAGAGGCAAAGGCAGAGCCCAAGCGTTGGCACTCAAAGGAAAAGGAAAATACACTGAAGAATCTGCTGCAGCAGCCGCGATGGAAACATCATCATAATAGTTATGACTTTTTCAATAAAACACCTAAAACAAATTTTGATTATATATTATTTGGTATCCTCAAAAATAAGTTGATTTTAAATCAACAATTTAAGGTTGATTATTCCTACCTAATTGGGAAACTGATTTTAACAAAATATATTTCTTTATAATTATATATGTAACTCAATCCGTGTTGAGCATAAATGCCTACTATCATTTTTTTAGTTTTAACAAAAATATCATTTAAAACATGTATTTATATACAATTAAGCTATTGAAATAATTAATGAATAGTAAAAATAACAATGATAAGAAATTGCAATAGAATAATGAAAGAGCAATTATTAGTTCAAAATGCATATTTTAAAGTTAAATTTACAACTTCAAATGGTCAGTAAGTTTTGTTAATTACTTCATTATTAGATCAACTTTAAATAATTTGTACAATGATCAGTTAGTATGTTAAAATGTTGTGTTATGACTCATATATTTCTGATTTTAAGGAAATGAAAAACAATTAAACTAGACAAAAACTTTTTAATAGGATTAATAGGATATTATTGAATATGACTTATTCAATAACACAATGTAACATTGTGTTACAATAAAATATTTCAGTTGTAAAAGAATTAAGTGCTACAAATTAGTCTGCGGTCAGACTAGACATCACCGATGAAATATTCTTGTTAAATATCAATCCACTTAAAAATATATATCTTTATGGAGAGGGAAATTTTGAAGAATTCCACACGTTTTTCCCAAAATTTAATTCAAACAATTTTTGAGTACTCGGAAAAGTCCTTTATCCTTAATACATTTAATCCTTGGTAAATATATTTTGCAACAAAATCCACCTTTTTTTTATAAAAGCAATTAAATTTATAAAACGCACTTAACCTACAGAAAAATGATAGCAATTTATATATATATATATATATGCGTTCGTTTAAAATAAAACTATTCGTCCGGAAAAGAAAATCTTTAGTTTTCATCAGACATCGACCGTGAATTATCGAATTTATTAGATGTAATGTGACCAATATAATTAAATATCAAATATTTGTTTTTCGTTCATATTCAGCCAATGCCGGGTCTAGTTTGACCGTACCATAGAAAAAAGATTAGACCGTATCCTTAGAACTATTGATGATGACCATACACACCACGGTTTACCGGAGAAGTCTACTTGCACAGGTTTTCGCCTTTTTTTCTTTTTTTTATTCCAAAATTAACGAGAGAATTAACAAAAGAAGTGCGTCATTGTTCGATGCCATCGCGAAAAAACTGAAGACCGCACAGGTGCATCGGGGACACATTCGACGTCCGGTTAACCTGGCACAGGTAGATCGTAGCGTATATGGTCGGCATAATATTTAATTCATATTTTGTACCGTGTATTCAGTCCTAGTCTTAAAATAATACATTTTTTGGATTGTTGACAAAATTTTAAATAAATACCTAGTCCGCCACCCAAGGATGTCTTATAGCTTTTGTACATTTATTTAAACATGTAGAAGTTATGTAATTTTTCTGTATTCAGCATAAACCAAATCCATAATATACATGTAAGTCACTACAGTATGATGAAAATTGTGAACTGCTAGACAGCCGATTGATGCAAGCGTGAGCGATTGTCACAGACATGTAGAAAAACTTTCGTTTTGTATATTCGTGGCGGGCATTGACTAGCTACAACGTGCGCGCAACACATTCATCCATGATTTCGATGGTTATCTGCGAATTCGACGAGTGATAACACCGTGATAACCACATTCGAGATACATAAATTATAAATTTGCTCAAAACCGTCGACGTTCGATAACGTTAAATTGCTTAGTCAATACACATTTTATTCGATAAATATTTCTTTCGGACGACTGGCGGTCATTCGTATGTTCATTGTACTTATTGCTTTTTTTTTTCGATATTCGCAGGATAAGGATTATGCCAACCGTCGAACACCATGAATAGGACCAGTGAGAAGATACTGAAGGAGCACTTCGAAGAACAGCGACCAGGTTTCAGTTCGTACTTGGACTGCCTGACGAGGTCGTACGGTACCGGGGTCGGTGTGTTCGCGGCCACGTTCGCCGTCGTGCACGTTGCGCAGCAGATCGCGGCCAAGCGGTTTCCACAAGTGAAGAGTACCCACATAGCCGTGTCCACTGTGGCTGGTACCGTGGCCTCGTACTTCACGGCCAAGAACAAGGTGCGCGAATGTCGAGATTTGTGGGCCAACTGGCAGGAACGCGAGCGCGGGCGATTGCCGTGATGGTGTCGACCGCTCGTGACATTGGCACGTTGTTCGGCGAGCCATGGTCACGTCGCCGGTACTGCAGCCGCCACCACCACCACGAGGATATCGACGCGGACGATGATGTGCAGATGCGGGATTTCATCGACAGACAGCTGAAACTGGCGCCGATGGGCCATCAGGTGCTTGTGATCCAGCCGTACATCAAGTGGGGCGCTAACAAGGACCGGAGCACGCGGCCCGAGGTGAAGGCCGAGGAGAGCGGGTCGTTGGTGCGCACGTTGTCCGGTTGGAAGGTGGTGGAAACGATGCTCGTGGGTCTGACATCGTTCCGCAAGCACACGTTCTTCGGGCCGGGCAACGTGGATGCGATAGCACTCAAGGTGCAACAGAACAAACGCGTGTCGGCCGTGTTCATCAGCGTCAATGTGCTGAAACCCGTGCAGCACCAGCACTTGGAGCACCGGTTCCGCGTGCCCGTATACGACCGGTACCTGATGGTGATACAGATCTTTCGGCAGCACGCCACTACGCGGGAGGCCAAGCTGCAAGTGGCGCTAGCCGAGGTGCCGTACATCTGGTCGCGAATACGTGGCGTACAAGAGGGCTACGCCGAGCGATTGGGCACCGAGGCGGGCCAGATAGTACTCAGCGGTAACCTGGGGTTCAGCGACAAGAAGGATTTGCTCAAGGAGTACGAGAAGAAGCTGAAGCGGTCCGTGGACAAGTTGCGGGGCCACCGCGGACACTTGAGGCATGGCCGCAAGGGCAAGGACCTACCCGTGGTCGCGGTGGTGGGTTACACGAACGCGGGCAAGACGTCTTTAGTGCGCGCGCTCACCGGCGACGAAGGACTCGCGCCTCGCGATTGTCTGTTCGCCACGCTCGACGTGACCGTGCACGGTGGCATATTGCCGTCCAACGTGCGCGTTCTTTACGTGGACACGATTGGTTTCATATCGGATATACCGACCAGACTGATCGAGCCGTTCGTGGCCACGCTCGAGGACGCCATGTTTGCCGACGTGATCATTCACGTTACGGACGTGTCGCATCCGAATGCCGCTGTTCAGAAACAGCACGTGGAGAAGACGCTTAAGGATTTGAGCTTGGACGTCGACCTGTTGGACCGCGTAATAGACGTCAGCAACAAGGTGGACCGCATGACCGAATCGTTGCAATCGCAGCAGTGTGACGATGATGCGGTAATGGTGTCATGCACCACTGGAGCGGGCCTGGACAAGCTCAAGACTCGGATTGAAGAACGGGTGATGGAGGTGACGGGCAGGCGAGTGGTAAAGATCAGGGTGCTCACCGGTCGTGAAGAGTACGAATGGCTGAGGGCGCACACGGCCGTAGTCGGTGTCGAAGCTGACGGCGAACACTCCGTCGTCCAAGCGGTCGTCACTAAATCCGATTTGGACGTTTTCAGAAGTCTGTTCATACGCAAGAAGAATTGATATTGATAATTTGATCGTTTTCATGCGGATAACACACGACGCTGTTGCAGTTGTTTCTTTTGTAGAACTATTTTGGAATTTTTTTTTTTATGATCAATAAATAAATCGTAAACCACGAACAGTTGATAAGTTTTATTTGCTTTATATACAACGTATTTAACAATAATAAAATACAAAAGTAGAAAAAAGAACAAGAACAGTCTTTATCAGCATAATATCAGTCTTAAACATTTTAAAATGTATTTTTTGTAAAACTACATTAACAAAAATTGAACAAAATAAAAAAAAATACTGTTCCCGGGAGAGCGAGTAGGTTGTTGGTCGTCACACCCGGAAGAATTGATGATAATCCTTCTAAGCGGAACGTTTTCCTGAAACAAAACAGACGGACATTAAAAACGTGTGAAATAAAAATCACTTTTCGTGGTGATGCACTTATAAGAAAAAAATTTAAAAATAAGAAGTTTAAAGAAAATTGAAGTCGGTTGATTATTATTTTTTTTTTATTTTAGAAAACAAATAATATAAAACGCGTTATTTTTAAATGTATATTTATGTATTAAAAAAATAAATAAATATAAAATAAAATGTTAAAGATGTACCTGTTATTTAATCATTTTCATTCAATTTGATTTCGTTTTTCCTTCATATTATCGATGTATATTACCGAGTTTATAGCAATTTATAACTTTGGTTTGTTTGTGTGTATAATTTTTTGTAATTTTTTTCGATTTTGTCAAAGGTAAAAGTTTTAAAAACGAACATTGTCGTTATACTTTAAAACGACTTACCGCATTTTATGTATATTAATTAACAATATATTATTACTTTTGAGACTTTTAATATTTATAACATTTAAAAATCACATTTTTTTTTTTTTTTTTTTAAATACAAAACCAGTGATGATTTATTCTCTACACTGGGGGTTCCACAAGACCACCCGAATCATCTGTGTTCAATAATATTTATATTCACATTTTTAGCATCTCCACTTCTGTTTATATTGAATTTCATTTGCTGGAAATTATTTTATGTCATAAATGTCATAATTATAACTCCTAAAACGATAACATATAATGATCAATTTTTGTCAATTTGTTTTGGTTTTTATCCAATTGTTATGTTTGAAGGTGAGGAATAAGGTTTAGTTGTACAATAGGCGATTTTAAGGATTCACCTGAAATTATTATTGGTATCAATTATTATAGTTATGTGTACATAAATATTTTATAACCACGGAAGACATAACAATTTGATCTAATATGTGTCATACACAAGTTTTGATTTATACAATTGAGAAAATAAACTTGATAAAAAATTCATGATTGTAACTTGAAAAAATTTATAATTTGACAAAATAATGTAATGCCATGGTATAAAAAATTGTAGCAGTGTTTTTAATATTAAGGTGTACACAGCACGAATTTGTCATTTAAAAAGTCTTTATTCAAAGACACCTTAATTAGTAGACAAAATGTTGATTAGACTTGGAACATAGTTCTCATTTAAATTTACCTTTATACGAATGAGTATAAGGTTTTACTTGACATACCATCATTCCTAACATAGATGTATGTAGTCAATGAATAACTACAATTAGAAACAATAGATATTGATTGAATATAATATATAAAGTAAGATCAAATAAATTGTAAGTATTTTATTTTTTGTAGATTTTAGTTTTATATAAATTTCGTTGTTCCTAACAAACTACAATATTATTATTATTATAAATCTAAACATCTACCAAAATAGCATTGGATCATGTGTAATCCGCAATTTTATAATAAAAAAAAAAAATAATAATAATAGTTAAATAAATAAATTATATAACTGTATCAAACAATAATTACTACAAATGTTTCTTCATGTTTATTGATTACATAATATATAAGTGACATTTTAAATGGATTCAATTGTTCTTTTAAGTTTTACTCAAAACACATAATATAAAATAATAATTAAAAGTATTATATTAGTAAATTGGTTTATATTTTTCAATATTAGAATAATTATCAATTGTCACTGGGTTGTTTTAAAATTTTACCGTTATAATAAATCAGCATCTGTAATATTAGCAGCAAGCAACGTGTACATTTCATTTAAAATGGATTGTTACCTCTGCCACAATAATATTTTTTATTTATAATCATATTATAGTTTTTGTTATTTATATTTATGATTAGGTATTGTTTTTAATTTATACCTATGATGATGGTATTTTAATTATTTCTTATCAATTTAATTATAATTTAAATCTTGAAGACAATTTATGTTTATTTTATTTATTTTTCTCTTTTAATTTTTATAATTATTACTTTAGGCAAGGAACATAAAATTATAATCAATACTGATATTGTTTATTAAAAAAATATAGTGTGGCAGTGGTGTAATCCTTTAATAACAATTTATGTTCTAAGTATCTATAAAGGTAATAATTAAAAATACATAAAAAAAATTATTAACACTTTCGGATTAAACAAGTTCATATTAAAAAAAAAAAAAATAATAATAGTAATAAAATAAGTAGCCCAACTTTGAAACAATATTTCATATAAAGTTAAAATAATAATCTAATCAAGATGTTTTGTGTAGAAATTAGATTTTACACGCCAATATACATATTATATATTATTTAATTTTTATTCCTTACATAATTATAATATTTGATTAAGAAAAATATGTTGGGACTCAATATCCCATGTTACACACAAACTTCTAATTTGGATGTACAATATAAAAAAAAAATTATAAGATTACCATAATTTGTTTTTACTAAGTGGAAAATTATTTTGAGATAATTATGAAATATCAAATTATTAAAAAAAATTATTCTACCCAATATTTCTCTTTGTTGTCAATATCATTTACAATAGAAATAGTCTTGACAAATACCTGATTATTTTTGTCTGGTATATGGAGCATTGCGACCACCATACCGACCACCTTGATTGCCAGTCGGTTTGGATGGTCCTCCGCTACCGCCAGTATTGTAATTTTTCCAACCACGGCCGCCACTACTTTGTGAATTGTCTAAAAATGAAAAAACAATAACAACCAGTATTAATTATAGTTATAATTATATTAACATTGATGAAATTTGATTGTAACCTTGTGAATAGGAATTTCCTGAATAATATTCATCATTACCTCCTCCATTATATGTTGCTACACCACCATACCTAAAGACAAAACATGTTGAGTTTTATTTTGCGATTGATTAAAAATTAATAGCTTATGATTTGGGTAATGTTTATTTAAAAAAAAAAAAATAATAAATAAATTTTACCCCGAATCAAAATGAGAATAATGAGATGAACCAGAATCTCCATAGCCTCCACTGCCAGGGTAAGCATTCGAACCTTCCATTGCTGATCGAGCTCTATCCAAAATGCTCATTACTTTAGCTTTTCCAGGAACTGGAGCCCTTGGCATACGAGGTGGTTGAGGAGGCATTTGACGAATGACAGCGGGAGGAGGTGGTGGAGCATGAATTATGGGTCCTGGATGACGAACAGGTGGAGCACCACCAAATTGTTGCATTTCACGTGCTTGTTCTTGTGCAATTTGATCATTGTGGTCAGGAATCAGGAATTTCCTGAGTTCCGCAAGTGCATAAGCAAGACGAGCATAAGCTTCAGCAGGAGGGGCATAAGCAGTAACTTGAACATGGAGTTCATCAGCTAAATGTGCAAACTTTGGATTCAATGAACTTCTCATCTCATCTTCCTATAAATATCAAGTTTACCATTTAAATGATTTATTATACATAATAATGATGTATAGCGTTAAAATATTTAACAACAAATAGTTTAGTACATATTAAATAATTGTTTACTTCAATATCAGAGTAGACAATGATTCAATTGATATTTTTATACTTTTTTATGCAATATAATGAATATATATGTTGTATGTTATGAATGAATTCACTGAATTAAGGTAAAAACTACAAACATACTTTTTCTTTGTTACGCATTGATCCTTTGCCCAATATTGCCATTTTGGTCATAGTGTCTTCTTGGAGACGTTTCAATGAATTTCCTTTAGGTCCCAATAGTTTACCAACAAAGTTGAACTGAAAACGTACATTTAAAATAAATCAAAATATTATCATTGAATATCATAAATGGTAATTTTTAATTACCCTTGGAAATTCTTTTGCTGGAACCATAATTTTGGCAGTAAGCCGGATAGGTTTATCACTATTTATATCCAAATAAGCAGACTCTGGTTTTCCGTTGGTGTTTTGTGCTCTGGCAATTTCTAAAATAAAATAAAATTTTACAAACATCAAAATATAATTTTAAACTTACGGAGACCCTGGACCATTTAATAAGTATCCATAAATCTATAACTAATCCATTCAATTTTAATCAATTATTCAAGCAACTTAATAAAGTATGTAAAATTTATATTGACTTTCCAAGAATAATGAAAATAATTATTTACAGTAATAATTATTAAATTAATTATCTTTTATTATTATTTATATTATTGAAAATAAAGAAGTTTAAAGTCTTGTAATATGATCTAAGGATTAAATGTCTATACATTTACTAGTAGATAATAAATAATATTCAATTTCCTAACCAATACACTTTTAATTGAATGACTTATAGTCTGTTTATTCCATAGGATAAATATTAACATATAATTGTTATAAATTGATAATATTCAATGAACTAAATAAATATACTTAGTAGTATAATAAAATACTTATTTTTAAATATATATATATATATATAATTAAGTTGGTTGAATATATTTTTGTGTAAAAATGCACATATAGCATCTGAATAAATATTTATTAAGCAAGAAGTATTTGTTTGAAAAGGATAATATTAGATTTTTTTTAAACTGTTGTATTTGTTATTTGATACTTATGTAAATATCTATTATTTGTTAAGAAAAAAAATAACTTAACAAAACAAATAATTTTTTTTAATGAACAATAATGACTTCACTAATTATATTTACTTTATTATGGTTAGCAAAACCTAAAGGGATACATTATTAGATTTATAGAGCGATAAATTACTTTAACTGTTGCTATGAAAACAATTTAAAAAATGATAGGTAGATTTATTGTCTGTTAAACCAGATGGAAACTTTAGACCAAGGATAAAATAGTATTTTATTTCCCATTTATTGATCGATTTAAAATCTATTTCAACTGGGAATTCTTATATTCATCTACAGGATCAGATTAAAGGGAAGTCTAGCAGAGTAGGTGGCTCCGAGGCCCTCTCAAGTACCCAAGTGAAACGAGCCCAAGCAATTTTAAGCCGATACACATTTTTTATCATACTAAAATTAGTAGTTTTAAAAACATAAATTTTATAATTTTATAATGTAATTGACAACTTGTGATAGTTAAAAAAAAATGTATCAGTCTGCAAGTTTAGCTAGTGGCTCTGTAAAGCATGTTTTATCAATAGGGCCCATATAAAATTTTAACCCCGGGCCCAATAGGTGCTTAATCCGACCTTGATCATCTATTCAACTCGATTGGTAAAAAATTATTAGCAATTATTAACACAAATAAATAATAAGTGAATCTGTGTATAGAGAACGGGAACCAAAACAGCAAAATAGTTGATAATCAAACATGATAAAATATTCTCTACTAACCATCGTCAATAAGTTTCATTGTGTTGATATGTGAGGATGCGTCTAAAGCGTACTTTTCCTTGACCAGGGCAGATACATATTCGTTTGGTTTGGATTCCGAAGGCATCTCTCCGTTGGCGTTGTCATTCATTTCGATCGAAGACATGGCGTCAACAAATCGGCGGCGTCGTCGTAACTGGAACGTAATGAGTGGAGATTGTTTACGATTAATAATTGTTCCCACGGCTGGTAATTATTAACGGCTATTGAGCACGCGTTGCCTGTACTTACGCAAGTCGATCAAGTGTTGGCGGTGCAGGTGTTGCAGGCGTAGTCTGGTCGTGAAAGTAGCGGTGCGCCAAAAGCGTACTGTACTAACGCTATGGTTTGATAAATAGAGCGTCTCGGACTAGCGGAAACCAAGACGAAGTTCGATATGCACGTTGGACGGCGACGGTGATGATGATGACGACGATGGAGTCAGCGTCGGTGAAGATGAAAACGCAGGGGGCGGACGAGAGTTGGGTTAGCTGGGCAACGCGCGTATAAAATGGCCGACGCCATGACGAGCGCGGTGCGAGGTGCGCGGTCATCGGTCGGATGGTGGGGCGGGGCAGAGGACGCGCAACGATCGAGCGCAACGTTTCGTACCGGTGGCATAACGGTCGGAAATCGATAACGCGTTTGACGTCGGGCGGACTGGAGCGCGTAATTGGCGCGCGCGCGCCGTCATAGTCGACCGCGTGCCCGGCGGCCGTGTGGATTTCGGCGTACGTCGTGGCTGTGCGCCGGCAGATGGCGGCACCCAATCGTCACCCGGGACGCCATTACCACCTGGACGCGATGATAAAACAAATTTTTATTATATTATCGTACACTTGACGGTATTCGCACAGTCTCCATACGGCGCACGTTAGTTATTCTGGGAGTGTATCGACCCCGGCGCCGAGGGACTCGTCTCATTTGTGCGCTGTTCGTGGCTTTTCTCCACCGCCTGCACCCGGTCATGCGACACCGTGTCGAACGCGTGCACGGTCGTGGATCCAGAATGTATTATTTACGGCGCTAACGGCTCCGGTTGAAATTCCGGCTCGTTCGATTTACACTTACGAAGCATAATTAAACGCTGTGCCGCATAGGCCCTGGGCTTATCAACTCGGGGGATTAGGTACAGTTTAAAAATTACGTGCCCCTATTGAAGTATGGATGTAACGCGTTTATCTAAAAAACTACATTGCTTCGGCGTTTTAATGGATTTGCATACGGTTCGTTTTGTTTACCGGTTGTCCCAGTTATTCCATTTGTCTTCACATAATGTAGTCCTGATACCACAACATTTTATTACGTTACTGTTGTTTACGTTATTTTGCGTATTGAAACACGATGGGATACCACGAACGGTGAAAAAACCACAACCACGGTCCGCCGCGGATGCGTTTTTTAAGTAAAATGTACCATATACGTTTTAAACATTATACTGTAGACATGAAATGGTTATTTCGTAAGAAAGTGAGATATACTTTACAAATACCCAATCAAACAGTAAGTTAAACTTTTTTTTTTTTTTGGAACATCTTCGAAGTTATCAATTTACGAAAAGCTAAAGGGATCACTACATCGTTTTTCACCATTGTTCTCCACACTATAGAATAAAAATATGGAGATTTACAACTAACTGGATAATATGTGATGAAATTCATCAGTATTACCAATTTAAAAAGTCATATTTAATTGGGATTTCAGTGAAATTTAGACTTTGTTTAATAATTACCTATTTTTTTAAAATCTAGTGTATTGAAATGTAAATTTTATACTTCTTATCAATTATTTAACTATTCAAAAGTCAAATACTTAAATTAATTTAATATTTCTTTTAAGGATGAAAAATGTCTAATTTCTATAATTGTAAACTTTCTCGTATACTTATATAGTCGATTATTGTACAATAAAATATTTATAAAATTAAATAGCTTTAAATAGCTTAGCATTCTTTGACTTTTATCATGATTAAAAAATAGACTTATATTATCGCTTATTATATTCATAATGAAAAATAATGTACCTAAATAAATTAAAAAATGCATAATGATAACGCAGATTACAGAGTCGAGTTGAAAATAATTAAAATAAAAATAATTAGTATCTAAACTCTATATGGTTACCTATCCTTGACAGACTCCATTCATATTAAATACAATACCTATGAAAGAATATTAATCATTTTTTGGATTTTTGGACGTACTTTTTATCAAAAAACAAGTAAGTACTTATATTTAAAATGAGCCTGATAAATTAATCGAATAATAAACACCAATTGCATTCTATTTTAGTGTAGAATAAACTATGTATGTCGAATAAGCTCCTATGCATCGCGGTCAAGAGTCGCTGCTAATTATATTCTAAAAGACTTAAGTCTATGTAATTTTGTAAACATTTAATTATTTGGACTTTTATAACAAATTTCAACCATAATTACATAATAGATGGGAATTAACATTTTTTAACAGAAAGTATTTAATATTTAATCAACATATTTTCTTTGAACCTTTTTATTATTACACATTATAATAGTATTGTAAATGGTTGTTGTAAAGATCATCATGAGAATAGTAATTATAAATATGATAATTATTATCTCTTTAGCGAATGCGGAATGGTATTATTTCCCATGCTCTTAAATGTCTTCGTTTATTATTATTATTCATAGGTGCGTACACAAAAAAAAATATTTTTTTGGGGGGAGGTTATACATTTTCATACTTATATAGTCTACAAATCATTTTTACTCTAAAATATAACATATTTAATAATTTTTCTGCGTTTTGGGGGGGGGGGATAATCTCCCTCTTCGTATATTCGCCTGATTATTTAATTTGTTCCTGTGTTCTTCGCGGTGAACCGAACGTTCATAAATGACGGCCGTTAAAATTGAAAAAATTTAAATAGATACAGATGTATAACAAAATAATCAACCTGTAATAACATCCTGTAACCTGTATAACAATGTTATTTTACCGTACGCAAATTAGATCGCGCATCCTAAGAACGAGATTACCGGAAAAAAAAAAACTCTGGCACTACCGAAATCACAGAAAAAATTTAAATTTCATAGTTTTCATTTTTTATTAATTCCTAGATTATCGAAATGGTTTGTTGTAAACAATAATAATTTAACCAAAACAACACTAGTACGGAGTACCTGCAAAATTAAACATACGGTAGCGTCGCTGCAAACGTTATTCTAATAATTTAGTTCAACTATTTCAATCGTAGTTGGATTTAGAAAAAATTCAATTTTTGATTTTTATAAGTTGTAGTCTGTAGACTGGTTAACGGTTATCTTAAGAGTGTAAGACTACGTTAACGGTTAAATCTAAGTAAAATTAAACGAAAATTCTAGATAATCAATGAGTATGATACTATGATATAAATGCCATTGGCTATTAACTAAGATACTGTGTTTTAAAATTGAACTATAGTGTTATTAATTGTATGGTTTTAAGTAAAATAGTATTTCCGGAAGAACACGTTGGTCAAACATAACGAAATGTTAAATATTGTTAAATATTGTAATTACAGCTAAAATGTAACTATCCGAAGTATCTACAATAAACGTTTCTCGTCACTATTCTCAAATTTTTAAATTGTAAAACGGGTAAATATAGAATATCTACAGAATGTTTAATATAAAATGTATAAATTACTTTTTATGTGTTTTTGAAATTTCACGTTCATTGCTTTCAACATGTTAATTGAAAAAAAATAAAAATATTTTCGTACGTAAAATGTATGTTACAGAGTTTCTTGATAATTACAGAAACAATTATTATCAAACTGAAATGCATAAATTAAAAAAAATATTGTAAAATATTGTCGAATATTATTTAAAAGTATCAAGATAGTAAAAAAACCAGTGTAATTTTAAAGTTAAACATGTAAGTAAATTATTATATTTCTGTTTAAATACTTCGAAAAACTTTGTTAAAAATAATCAGTATTTTTCTAAACTCATTTTTAAGGCTTACTTTCTGTAATACATCCTGTACAAATATTTCTTCTTCCAATCAAATCAATCTTTAATATTCTTCAAATATCGAAACATAATTATTAACTTCAAAGTTTACATCTATTATTAAGTCTCTCCTTTCTCCTTTTATGATATTGTTAAATAAAAATAAATTATAATTATCTCTCCTTTCTCGCTATAATCTTATTTCATATTGTTTATTATTTAATTGCATTATATGTTTTCTCAATCTTTGTATTACATTTTAAGTAACGTATTTTTACATGATTATTATAGCCGAGGTGATTGGAAATATAAGTTCGTCCATAAATCTAAAAATATAAATATATATAAAAATACATAAATTTACATATATTTAAACAATGTATATGTGAGAAAATTGGAAAATACAATTGTTTACAACACATGTAAATTCCTAAAATGTGAAGTAGGTATAATGCATAAATCTAAGGTTCTTGTCATTGGACTTGGCTGAGTTGTTATAGATTGTTGATTCTGGTTAATTTCATCTTACGTTATAGTTGGCTATGTAATAAATAAATTACCCATCAGTAAACATAACTCTTTTTAGTTTGAAATAATTTATAAAATTGTTAAAAATTTTTTCCGAGGAATTGCTAAATTAATATACTTGTAATTTTTATTGTTATCATTACATTACTATTGAAGATGCAAAACTAATTACAGCTAATTGTTATTAAATTTCCGTTTATTTTCTTTGTTATTATTTGGACACCAGAACACTTTTATGAAAAACAGGACAGTTTCATATATTATTTGTATTATACATTATATATTTCCATATTATAGTAGTGATTATGGATCCCGTTACATTATTATTTTGTATTATTTAAAGAATTACTGTGTGGTTTAGAATAGATTAAAAGAGGTATTTTGTGAACATATTTAAACGACATGGTCCATAACATTTATTACCTTTACTTATATATTATTTAGTTCTCTGGTGCTATTAGGTTAGTATAAAATATGTGCATACTTCGGGACTTATATCTCTGAATTCTTTTTTCATGGCCGTGTAATTTCTATATACTGATATTATATACGAATATACAGAGTATTTTGAATTTTTTTTCTGTGAATCTACTTGGTCATATTAAATTGTGGTCTTATACAGTAATTATTATTCGAGGCGAAGGAAATGGCCAATGTCTCCGCCGTGGCGTGGAGGTAGTGTTTAATGTTTATGTAGTCACAGTATTGGTTGTTTTTCATTTATGGAAGTAAAACAAATATATTTTTAGATTAATTAATATTATCTATTGCCTTTTTCGATGTTGCTCTACTATGTGTATGTACTCGTATGTTAATTGACCAGTTAATCCGTTATTAGTAACTGCAATTCATATTGTGGCACCAATGGATCAACACGTTGTATAGCATCAATTATGATTTTCAAACCAGTGACCAAGCCTATGTCTCAAACCAACGCCACTAAAACAAATCTCATTAGTAGGGATAGCTTCATCAACAATATGGAGATCCAAGACTTCCCATACCAGCTCAGACTCCATAAATGGACAGAAGAGCTGC